TCTAGCTGGCGTTGGTGTTAGATAAATATGTTTCTTTTAGTATGCGCGTCTTAGGTCTTAGTAAAGGTAGTCGTCCCAAAATGTCTTGGCGGTCCACCGGTTGATTTAGCCCTGTTCTAGAGTAAACTTTACGTTGTTGTAGCCCTATTATACTAGATCTTTGTAGCCCCTCATCTTTTCTTTAATACAAAAACAAAACTTATACCTTTTTATAAGTCATTTGCTATATATTCTTTTTACTAGTATAGTATTATTGACGACAGTTTTCACTAACGTATAATGCTTTAGACATGCTGATGTCAAGAATTAACTGTATTGAAGACAGAGGAATATAAATACTATAGGAGTGGTAAGAGTTTTAGGGTTTGGTTACAATAGTTATAATCAACTAGGTACTATTCAATACGTATATCTTACACCAATAAAAGCGTTCAGGTTGGCTCACGAAAAAGAATTTGTTTCCAGTGCTATTCTTTATCGGTGGAAAATTCAAAAATTCTGTTCTCTTGAAAGGCTACTGTCATACACTCTTAAAGTATGGTTACTACCATTGCTTTTTATCAATTCATAACGGTTTGTGGTACAGGATAAAAATTTTGCATGACATTTTACTGACGGTTACAAAAATTTTCTGTTTGATTACTTATAATTTTTTCCAGTAAATGTAAAATCCAAGAGACATGTCTCTTCAACTCATCTGTAACAAATAAATTTTTTAAATATAGGACTGATTGCTCATCAACTTCGTATTTACTAGCAACACGAGAGCTATTGTCGACAGACCTCGTAATTTTTTGCCTCATTCAAATGACGAGGATGATACCTGAGCTGATATCACTCGCTCCGAACTTCCCCACCACATCAATGTGAGGACTTTGAGCCTCGACAAATTTAAAGTACATCGGACTCTTTCAAAGCGTGTCTTACATGGCCTCACTAATCATCTGAAATAATGCTGGTCATGAATTCGTGAAAATGGCCATTCGGTACTGGGGAATTTTTATAACAGATAACTCAGTCACTCATAAGTGAGTGAGTGAGTATTAATGTCACAGTATTCAGCCAAACGAGGGCTTTTGGCGACGGACCTTGTAATTTTGAGCCATGGTCAAGTGACGAGGACAACACCTGCAATAAATACATTAGAGGAGGTATGTTAAATAGAGATTTAAAACTTCTAAATTTTGGATGTATTTTCATCAAAGGACACCATGTAGAACAGAGGAAGTATACTTTTAGTAGATTGCATCCAACTGATCCCAACAGATCACATCTGAGATTGCAGGAAATTTATTAGTTACTTGCTCTGCTCAGTGGCGTAACGGAGAATAGCAGGGCTTCCCTGTAAAGTCAGGTCTTGGGCCTCATGCCCGGATCTTAGAAAGGATACGTACTTGGCGTCAGTCAGGCTTCGGGCCTCCTAGAATACTGCCCCCCCAGCAATGCGAAGTTGTACGTTACGCCACTGGCTCTGCTGTGTCGTTTTTGTACCTTTTTTTTTTTTTAAAAAAAAAACTTTTCACAAAGAGTTTATTATAGATTTATAACGCAAGTTCAATCGTGCAAAATTTCTTTTTAACAATTCCCATGATTTTTCCCTAATTTATTTATTATTTCAGAAAAAAATATAATTGAAGAAAATTATTGTGCAGTAAAGTAAAATTGTTTGAATCTAAACTATTTTATTTATATAAATAAAATATACGAAGCCCTCTCATTGCAATATATTTAAAGGTTTTTTCTGTCGTGAAAACGAAATTTGACTAGTAAAACGAAACGTAAGAAATAGTATAAAAAACAATGATTTCTAAATATAAAGAAAAAAATGGTATTATACGTATTTAGAAAATCGTAAAAAGCAGATAAAAAATGAAAAACTTGCATGTTTAAATTACAAATATTATTATGTACTTTCTATAATAGAAATACCGTGCATTTTACTTTTTAAATTACTTTTTCTTTACTTTTCTCTTTCATTTCACATACTTCTATTTTAAGTAATTTTCTTCTCCTTTTATTTATGATTATTAGATTTTTTTAAAAAATTTAAAAGCCTAATTAAGTTACATAATATTTTGATAAGTATATATTTTATCTGAAATTTGACAAGACAAGATTGTAGGCTTTTTTATGCAATTTGTTATGATCATGGCAAAAGAATATAATAATAATAATAACAATCATCTATAACATTAGTAGACTTCCTAGGAAAAGAAAGTGTAAAATTACTATTTTATATAATTTTTTACAACGTAGCATAAAACTACATACATCTAAAGTCGCCTTTTTTTACAGTTTATTCTCCTATAACATTAGATCAGTGTTTCTCAACCTATTTTTTACTATGCCCCATAAGACTTTTAAAAATTCATATGTCCCCCCCCCTTACACATATAATATTGATATATATTTAAAATTAAGAAAATATGAATTGAAATAAACGTAGATTAAAGATGCATATTAAAAGACTTAAATACAAAAAAAACTTTTTTTTGTATGACAAATATTTTTGGAAAATGATACCTCTAAAAGTAAGGTTTTTTAAAATTACCAACTTAATTTACTTACCATTCATTTATCACTAATATTTGTTCAACTTACGTATTTTTTAAGACTACATGACTCCTATAACAATTTTACTGACGTTTATTTTGAATAAGCCCTAACAATTAATAACGAACAATTCTGCAAAACACTGCAGAAACTTAGATCCCCCCAGCATTAATTATTTCAAACTATTTGAAACAAACAGCGGGATTGTGTTAGGAAAGAATATTTTATCGTCAAACAGACAGCTATTTAATAATTTTATTACAATTAGTCTCATATTACAAATTGTGTAAAATATTTTTTTATAATCGGCTACATTACGAATAAATAGCTCATATACGCTTTAAATTAGTCCTTTTTCGAACTGTCCCCCCCCCCACGTGAGGATTCAAGTGGCCCCTTTGGGGGGGGCGCTCCCCAGGGGGGAGAAACACTGCATTAGATGGTCGCAAAAGCTGTACAGCAGCTGCGAAATTCTTTTCTCTTTGTTATGTGTGTATGTCCGGCAGAGAACACCTGCTCAGGTGCCAGCCAATCAATGTGTTGCTCCACCAAGGAATTTAAGCTCTTACGACAGTTCAATTTCACACCATCATATATTTTCTATCAGTCTGAGGAAAAGGATAAAATTACTAAGGAATAAATTACAATAACTATTTCTTTGTAAGTTTCTAACATAAATTTTTTTTTAAGTCAGGTCAACAAAGAAAAATTTTATTTTAGTTACTTTTTATTGAATAATTGCAATTAATATATATATACACTAGCGGTCCCGACAGACGTTGTCCTGTGTACACACGTCTTAAATCCGAAAATAACAAACTTTTTTGAATAAGTTGTAACAATCTGGACCGTTTGGATGAAATTTTTATATAAAGAAAGTTATAACAATACCTGACATACAGTTACCACAATTCGACCTATCGATTGCGTGTGATTGATTGATTGATTAAATATTAACGTCGCACTGTTCAGCAACACGAGGGCTTTTGGCGACGGACCACGTAATTTTGAACCATGGTCAAGTGACGTGGACGACACCTGAGCTGGCACCCCCCTCTCCTAACTACCACACCAACGGGAGGACGTTTCAGCTCTCGACAGATTTAACGTGCATCGCTTCCCTACACGGCGGGTCTTTAGTGGTACTGGGCTCGAACTCGTGACAAGGCAAGCCACGGTCTGATACCTATACCACTCGGCTACCGCGGTCACTCGATTGCGTGTGAGTATGTATTTACTATGAACTAAGTTGAGTACAGAAGCTATTCTGAATAGAAACTTAAACTTGTTTTGATTAAAGGGTAAAAAAGATCTCGACTATTTTCTCGACTAAACTCGAGCTATTTTCATAACAGGTATATTTTTTTTAATGCACAAAAAATAAATTTATCGTAATGCCATTGAATGTGCAATGTTTTTGGTTAATCCTTGAGGGGTATAAGCAAACAAATGCGAGGGTTTGCCAAACCTCGGACATGCAACATATAATTGGCCGTGCGAAAAGCAAGGGTTTTCTAAATCTAAGCCACAAATTGTCGTTGTTTGACCTTGTGACTTATTAATGGTCATAGCAAATGTCAAGCGAATTGGAAATTGCAAGCATTTGAATGGGTAGGTGAGTCTGAAAGAATCATTGGGATCTGTGGTAGAAGTACAACTTCACCTGGAAGTTTGCCGCTCAAAATTGTGGCCTCAAGAATATTTCCCATGATTTTTTTATGAACAATCACGCTCCTTTACATAATTTTGGCATATTTTTAACTAATTGCGATATAGGACAGAATTGTGAATCTAAACCATTCTCGAATCCACTTGAACCCACATAAAAAATATCATCCAAATCGGTCCAGCCATTTAGGAGTTCAGTCACATACAAACGCACAGAAGAATTACATATATAAAGATATATGCCGTATCGTGGCGAAATGAATATTCTTTCCGATTCTGTAATTATTTTTTTGTCTCATTTTGATAGAAAAATTAGATTGCAATTTTAAAAACGGCTAAAATATCGGAAAATTCTCCCCTCTTCTTTCTTTTTTTTTCTTGCCCCTCATTAGCAGAATAAGCAGCACACAGGGGTAAAACAATTATGCGTTTTAAGGTTTTTAATTAATATATTTTTAACTAATTGTGATGTTGGACCAAATTGTGAATCTAAACCATTCTCGAATCCACTTGAACCCACATAAAAAATGTCATCAAAATCGGTCCAGCCATTTAGGAGGAGTTCAGTCACAAACATAAGCACAGAAGAATTATATATATAAAGATATGACACATAATCACAATATTAAGTGACAAAAAAGAAAGCTGGTTTTCTTGCAATTTTCCTTTCTATATATGGTGTTGAATTATTATTTTTATTTGTTATTACCTATTCATTAATTAAATTTAATTATTCTGATAAAATAGTAAGTAAGAAATCACATTCTCAGAAATTAGGTCATCCCAGGTGGGATTTCGAAATCACGACCTTTGAATTAGGAATCCATCGTGCTATCCATTGCACTACAGGGACACAACGAACGATTTTCCTTTCTATATATGTTGTTGGATTATTATTTTATAGGTTGTTAATATATATTCTTTAATTAAATTAAATTAATGCATTAGTATTTGAAAAAACAATATTAACATCAAGTGTCATCAATACAAATTTAAAAAATATATTTAAGCTTGAATGGATGCATAGAAAATATTTTATTAACAATTAAAAATTTGAGCAATTGAATTGAATATATATATATATATAGAGAGAGAGAGAGAGAAAGAACTAATAGAGTAGAGGAAGTGAAAAAACCGCAATGCTTTTTGTGCATGATTTACTAGAATTAACATTAAAGACAGCACACAATTCTGGATTCAATAATGGTTATCGCCATACAAAAACTGTGTAGCTAAATGATATAAGATGATTATGTTTAATAAATTAAAAGGTGCATTCTTACTTTAGTAATATCTTTTTGTGAAACTGTTGAATGGATGTCAAAAGCAGGATTCGTTGCATATGTCACATACACATACAATAGTGTCCAATAATTGCATGTTCATATTATGAGAATTACTACAACTGTCCTGTGATATTGTAATTAATTAGTAAGATTAGCACACACAGGAACTTAATTTGCACGCACAAATTGTTAGTACAGTCTACATTTATACTTTTTTCTTAAAATATTATTTCCTATTTTTGGTAAATAAATTATAGCATCCATTTAATTAACGCCACTTGTTTAACACACATCTAGAAATAAACCCACATTTCAACTTGAATTTATTAAATAACTAAATAACAGTTTTTAATAATCAAAATATTGTAGAAAAATCTTTCATTAAAATTATTTTGTACTTGAACTTCTGTTCTCTGTTATACATTTTGAAATTTTACTTCTTGTTTTTCTTAATAATAGCTTGCTTGTGACTTCTTCCTAAAACTTAAGTCCTGTATTTTAAATAACTTGTTCTTCATTCGAAGAACAATTTAAATTTTGAATATTAAAAATTATGTATATATGTTATGTATGGGCCTAGGTAGAGTAGGGGGGGGGGGGGGTGGAGAAACACATTGCTTTAGACCAGGGGTGTCAAACTCTCATTTTTGCGGTCCGGCCAATATATCGGCACACAGTAATATATAATAAAATAAAATAAATTCACCAGGAAAATAGGAAAGATAGTAGCAGAGAAGAGATGTCAAGTGTCAGGAAGTAAACATTAATTTTTCTTGTTCTTTTATATGTGCTTATTATAGTGTACTATTCGAAATAAACCTATGTTTTTATGAATATTGATTATTTTTGGGGCCCACCTAAATTTATACCTTATTTGTTTGGCCCAAGTTAGCCTTTGAGTTTGACACCCCTGCTTTAGACTCTTCTAAATTTGTCTCTTGACACCTATTTTTTTCATCGAATTTAGCAACATTAGGCGATAAAATTTGTCACCAAGTTTATCACAAAAGTCACCCCTACTTGTTCAGAACTATGAAAAGAATATCTTCCATTTATGTGCAAATCATCTTACCAGCAGGGAAAGAAAAGATTTCCAAGAAAGTCCAAGTTTTCCAAAACCCTATTCATAACAGTTAATGTTTATTCTATATGGAATGTGCTCTGTGCCCTACTTGGACTAAAATTTTCTTTGAAACAGTGAATTTAGGAAAGAGGCTTCAAATTATCATGCAGAATGATATTAAAAAGTTTGTTACGGAGTTATTGATGAATGCAAGAAATTTAATTTTTTTAAAAAAATGAAACAAGTTAATTTCGAATTTCGAAAAGAAACATATTTTATGCAAAAATATTAAATTAAATTGATTAAACAATCAATACTAATTTGAAGCGGTATTATATTCATGTCATTATATAGGATGTCATATTGGTACGTATTTTTATTATGAAGAAAGTAAAACAAATTAATTAATAGAAATATATTTTAACTAGAAAATGGATTTATTATACTTTAGAAATAGAAATCTTTATTTTTGTGTAAATATTCATTTTCTCTTTCGCCTACAGTTCCTCTTATACATTCAAGTCTGAAAGTTACTTAAGGGTGTTAAATTTGTCTCGAGAGCCGAAAATATAAACAATTTTCGATTCGATGGAATTCTTTGAGGTTGAAATGAAATAGTTCAATTCTTGTACACATTATTTAAAAAGGAATGAGGCTTCAAAAAAAGTGTAAAATATTTAAAATATAATCATAATTTTAAAAATTATAGCCATATGAAAATAAGAAACATTTCTGTTAGAAATATTAATTAGTTTTACGTTGAGGAATGATATTTTCCAAAGTAGTAGCTCTAATTACTAGTAACAAGTTGATTTACAAAGTTAAACATATCCTTTTTACACTTTAGATTTTTTTATATAAATAGAATAATACATTTTACTTTTTAAAAAATAAAAAAAAATACATTTTAAAATTTTTTTAAAAAAAAAATTTTAATATTTTTCAAATATTTTGGAATACAAAATATATATAGTATTAAAATCAGGTAGAGTTTAAAGAGTATGATACATTTTATAATTCTATAAAATTTTATACACCAAAGGCTATTTTAGAAAATAGCCCGCGCAACATAAAATTTAATTATTTATTACAGAAATGTTTCTTTTTTTTCAAATGCTTATAATTTTTAAAATTATGATTACACTTTAAACATTTTACCCTTTTTTGAAGCCTCATTCCTTTATAAACAATGTGTAAAAGAATTGAATTCTTTAATCTTAATTTAAGGTATCCGACTACATTCGGAACCGTTATTGTAAAAAGGCGCATAAATGGATAGTTTTCATGGTATTTAGTGTCACTTAGATTAGAATACATATATAAAATTGTTTTAAGGACATTTTGACAAAAAAAAATTATTTAAATACAATATTTCGGCAAAAAATTAACAGAATAATTTCTTTTCTAAGTGTTCTCCTTTTGTAAAAAATGCTTCTATTATAATAATATTTTGCCTGTATATAGTTCAGACCTCTGTACAGAGGCTGAACTAGAATTTTTGAAATATATAACTTAGAAGTGAGTTTATCCATATTTTACGACAACACAGCGGAGGAATTTTAAGAAAAAAACGACAGCAATTATTTAAATTGGTGGTAACTCTGAAAATAATGTGAATTTTTCAAAAACTCTAGTTGAGCCTCTGTAGAGAGGTCTGAGCTATATACAGGCAAAATATTATAATAGAAGCATTTTTCACAAAGGGAGAACAATTGGAAGAAAAATTATTTTAAGTTAATTTTTTGCCAAAATATTGTATTTAAATAACTTTTTTTTGTCAAAATGTCCTTAAAACAATTTATACATGTATTCTCTAATCTAAGTGACACTAAATATCATGACAATCATCCATTTATACGCTTTTGCAAAATCACAGTTCCGAACGTAGTCGGATACCTTAAAAGAATGATATCTGTTTGAAAATTTTTTATATATTTTCAGTCCTCGACTCAAATTTAAAACCCTTAAGACTCTCTTAAGATGATTAACAACAATTAGTTCCATCAAGATTTTAAAGATGTCCCCTCAATCGATTTCTTTTTGTGCTGTATTGAAATAATTTTAAAACCGGATTCTTATTTGAGTTTATGATATTCTAGAGTTTTACTAAGATGAATGGTGTGGATTATGTAATTCGAATTACTTTCAGATGACGAGAACGACCCATGAGATTTGCTTTCCAAACTTCAAAAAGGGGGACGTTTAGTTTCATGGATGTGCTGCAGTTTTCATTGCTCTGGAAGATGAATCTTTGATGGAATTTGAACTCATAAGTAAATCTAATTGAACATTGTCGGTCATATGAAGCGCGAAATCTTAACTTTTGACCCGTGGCTACTTTAAATTCGATATAGGATAATTTTAGGAAATTATAGGATAATATATTTTAAGGTACTTTTAGAGTAATACTTTTTGGAAAGTGAATTTTTAAATGGGTAATATAGTTATTCAAGAAATAAGCTAAAAGTTGCTCGAAATCTCAAACTAAAATGCATGTAAACTGACTTCAAAAAGGGAAGATAGACAGTCAGATTTACCAGTAAAAGAATGAAAATGAAGATACAAAAGAAATGCGGTTTGTATGAATAATGATAAAATGAGCTTTATGAAAAACTATCAGAGGAAGCTTATAATTCCTGCATTTGTAATTTATGAGAAATTTTGGTTATGCTTGATGATCTGAAATCGTGTAAGTACTAAGTTATCGTTAGACATATTAAAGAGATGTCGTTTACCCTATTCGTTGCGATGTTAGGAAAATGAATAGAGTTGTGATTGTGTGTGTGTGATGGAAACACGTCACAAGCCGATGCCTTCAGACGTGTTTCAAAAACTGGAATCAGTTTGAATCTAAAATTCCAAAACTTCAGCGCTAAAATGTGTTTCAAGCTGCCCATCGCAAGTTGAATTCTAGCAGCTTTGGTTTGAAGGAAAAGGAACACTATGATGCCTTAGTTCAGCGGTTCTTAAACTGAGGTCCGCAGCGCCTCTCTAGGGCGTCCACAGAGTCTCTCATAAAACGTTCAAATTTCCATGTTTTACAGACTCCGAAAGACCTCGTGGAAAAATTGATAGATGTGCCATACTAGACTAAATTACTAAATATGTAATGTTGCCCCCCTTGGGTGCCCTTCTCTTTGATTATCAGCGTGAGCTAGAGGTTGTAGGATTAACGAAAGAACTAGAAGATTCCATGATCTTAATTTGTCTTTATTATAAGACCTTAAAACTTAAACTTCTAACAGATTAGATAATAATAATATACGTGAGAGAATCTACGATGACAAAACACACAATATATATAATACCGAATTAGTTTAACCCGGACCACACTATCAATAACTAACACGCCTAAACTCAATTCCAATAATATCTCAGATCTTAATATTAAATAGTCAATCTACCTTAACTTCGATCGTCGATCCAATCTTAATGGAAGTTGCGTATTTACTCGAGTGCAATGGTATGCACCTTGACCTAATGGCTCTATCTCCGGAATAACTT